TGTAGGGAAGGCTTCTTTTATTCGTTGTTGCTTGATCTTCCTAACTCCTACTTACCTTGCTAAGAAAATAAATGAAGGCATGTTAATTCACGCTACCTTTTTGCTTGATGTTTCTTGTAGCGGGTTTTATATACAGCAAATTTACCTCCTACCACTGACCTGACACAAACTGTAATAGTGGTCAAAATACCAAATAAGATGTAGGATGTGCATGCGTGCAGGTGTGTGGTGTAAGGGCAGGGGGTACAGAGGCCTACCTTGGTTTCTGTAACAGCAGGAAGGTCAGCAGCTTCTACGAATTTCTCCTGAGAGTGCAGTGGGCCCTGTCTGTCTTCTGGGGGATCCTGGGAAGGGGTAAGAGAGCACAGAGGACACACGCTCGTCAAATGGAATGCTTTTCAGTCCTGCCAGCAGAACAGCTGTGCTAGCAGCTGGCGAGTGCTGCTGTCCTCTCTGTCCCAGAAAAGACCAGACAAGCAGAAGTAAAAGCCATTTCTTACCAGGAGAGGCTGCTTGTTTGTTAGCAGGAGAAACTGAAGAGTCACAATGAGAAGCAGAAACAAGAAAGCTACAGGAGATGGTTGGGAGGGTAGGAAGAATCATAGATCTCAGACCAGGAGGAGTAATAGGTCTTCTGGGTTGATGTCCTATATTATTCCAGACACAGCTATTGCTTTTCTTTCAGTTATTGCTATTTGCTGCTATCCTGTATGCCTCTGACATTTTTGCTTTGCCCAGTAACTTATATTTGGCTGAAGTGTTTCTTCCAGAAAAGCTTGATGTGAAGACAGCACGAGATGTGGGATCTACTGGTTTCATGTTTCACCAGAATAAAGTACTTGTATGGGAAGCAGCTTCTCAGTCATCTTTCACACGCTGCATCTGTGGAGATTTTTATATCTGTCACTGGGAGATGTTCCTCCAGTGCAGGTTATTGCTCTGCAGATCACGTATGTCTTCTCTTCAATTTACTAGCAGTCTTTTAATGATGTGAACATCAGATGAGCAGGCAACACTGTGGTACCAGTTTCATGAGCTCTGCTCACAGAAACTAGAAGCTGTTCTTCTTGCTGCTCTTTTGTCCATGTAAGGGCCTCATTAATCTCTTCTTTGACTTGTTGTTGCACTAGGGGCGTAAGTTCAGCTCTTCGCCCACAATGACAATGACGTGAAATCTTTCTTTAAGCACCTGCTTTTCAGGAAAAAACACCTCTTGCTCTGTTAGCATTGTTCTTTCAAAAGCTGCAACGCTTTTGCCTCAATAAACCACCGTGCATCTGCATGCCTATCTTGTCCCACTCATTACTTTCTACTCCATCAAACTAGGTGTCTCCTGTGAATTTAATCACTAGTGATTTTTCTTGATTTCCAGATGAAGTAGTGAGTAGAATTGAATCCAGATACAATCTCTCTTCTTACCGTATAAGAACCTTTCTTGGTTAAGGGATGATTTCCCATCACCAGTGACCTTTTGAGGTCTGTCAACCTGTGCTTAGCCCACGTGCCACACTTCAAATATGCTTCTGATCTTTCAATCAGAATGTTACCAGGGACCAAGTCCACAGCCTTATGAATGCCTGTTTAGCTTGATTCATATGGCACTGGCCTGAAGAAAGGACCTACCTGGCCTATTGCCTTTTGCCCAGTCTTTCCTTAGAAGAAAGACTTCCAGGTAGCAAATGCTTCTTAAGCAGCCTTCTGTACCTGCTTGCTGCCTCAGGTGGAAAGCTGGGCAGCTACCACCAGAGGAGTAGTGAGGCAAAGGCTTCTTGTCAGGCACGTGTGTGTGGCTGTGGTGAGGTGAGGAAAAATGGCTGGACCACGCTGCCTAGCAAAGCAGCGGTTGTGTGGCTGGGGCCTGCCATACCAATGCATTTCATGCTGCATCAGCAAACGGGAAGGCCTGTCTTTGTAAGGAGACTGTGAGCAAGAGTGTATATGCAGAAAGAGGAATGCTCAGACATGAAAAGAGAAGAATGGTTGTGGTTACAGACGACGAAAACTTAGGATGTATGAACTCCAGAAAATAAAGCTAAAAAAATACCTGCCAGCTCATGTGAATTGAGAGGATAAAAATGAACCCTGAAACACCTTCTGATTGCCTACCAATGAAAAGAGTCCCTGGGAGAGCCTGTGAGGAAAACTGCAGAGAAGACCAAAAAAAAAAGAAATCTCTGAGCAAATGAGACTATGCAAAAAATGGATGAAAGGTGGTGTGAGCAAAGGTCCTGCAATGGCTTGAAGAGTGAAGGGGACTAAGTATAACTGTAGTCCATAGGAGAGCTCTGAAGTCCCCTTCTAACATGACAGTGTGGGGGTTTTTTCAGCTCGTCCTTGGAGAAAAAGAACCTCTTAGAGATTAACAAGAGGGGGATGGCAGGAGACTGTGAGGTTAAGAGGAAAGGGGGAAGGGATCTCAATGGGATGTAGAGGATATTCCCATAAAACTAACAGGTTGGCAGGGGAAGGGGAGAAGAAAGAAGTCATCTTACCTCTTTACTAGGTGGTATCAGGTACGTGGCACTGACCAAATAAATCACAAGTGTGCAGAGAAGTGGACCAAACCCAATTAGCCTGACTGGGAGGAGATTAACCTTTTATATGGGAT